TCATCAATCCTTACCATCAAAAGACTCTTTGCAGGTTGGGTCTTTACAGATCTTTGGTTGGGTTTTCATAGTCTCCTGTTAACAACACTTCCGGGTAGCACCACTCATGTACCAAGCAATAGCAGACACTGCCAGATCTGCTGGATGCTTTGAAGAAATCAGTGGAGCTGAGACTTGCAAGTTGCAAGGAAAGAATGATTGTGCTACCTTGGAGAAAGAGCCAGGGAACTTGCAGGTAGCCACGGGGAGATATGCATATATTGACTTGGTGTTAGGGCAAGAAAGAAAGAAACCTCTTCTACAACATGAGAATTTGTATCTTGATAGGATCTTACATTTTTCTGGGTCAGTGCACTGACCCAGAATGCCATCTTCTTGAGCTGAATTAATAACAAAAAGTAGATTTTATTTTTTTAACAGTGTGTTGCACCAAATTCCAAATGTTTACTGCACTTTAATTCTGTGTGCTGAGGAATGATGCAACGATAAAGCTGTGCTGCATACAGCTTTCGGCAATACCATGGGCCATAAAATCTAATTTTAGGCATTAAAATTGATTATTTCAACCTTAATAGTTATTCCACTCTTCTGCTTTATCTCCCTTTTCTGCTTAGACCTCGAGTTACTTGTCTGAGTGAGCGGAACATTTTGGTGGTGGGTATATATTTTATGTGCGTGTTTCTGGGGGGAGGGAGCGAGAGGGATATTCCAGAATGCGGCCATAGCCTATCAGTTGGAAGGGGGAATTCAGAAAACCTAGCGGGGGGGGGGGCAGGAATTGAATTCTCAACACGCACACTCAACATGTGGACTAAACCTTTTCTTAATTGCCTTCTCTCCCCTCATGTACTGGTTAGCTTCGGTGCTGAGGGTTGCTGCATCCAGATTTAATTCTCTTGAAAAACGAGCACATCCAGAAGGTGCACATAGTAAATAAAAACCGTGGCCTTTAATCTTCCTGCATGATCTTTGAATGGAGAGAATGTGCTGTAACATTTCTGCACTGTAAGAGAAAAACCAATCTGACAATAGTGGTTGCTGATTCTTAATTCTCAGGGAATGTTTGCTATAATTGTTTTAAAGAAATACTTCTTGTTTTATGACCATAATACTGGCTTCTGATCTGAAACGGGCCTTTAATGGCAACAGTCTTAAAGATGTAATGTGTTCTACTTTAAACTTGTTCCTGTGGAAGATTTTGTTTTATGGGAGCCCATACGTTCCTCCTTGGTTCAAGAAATATATTGAGAATCATGTTCTAAAGGAGTGGATTTGCTGTTCTACAATGCTATTAAATTAATTGCACACCGTATCTTTGGCTACGCTCTTGTACTCACTTCCCCAATTAAGAAATGTTGATCAAAAAGTAAATGCAATGAAAGATACTGAGAGTATCTTGTAAGTAAAAGAGTATCATAATCATGGTTTATTATGAATACTGGGTAACAGTCGCGTTTTTCCTCTGTGCTTTTAGAGACCATACTTCATACAACTTTGCCTAGCTCTATGTCTCATCAGGTCTGCATTTTGATAAAGAAAAGCTATTTTAAAACGAGTCTCTGTGTCTGCTTGTGCAGACTACATGTCAGTGATGAAGTGATCTCTTTCTTCTAGCCAAATACAGTGCTGGCCTCAAATTTTGCTGCATAAGCACGGGCATACTAAGCCTTTCAGTAGTACTGCTCAGTTTTGAATGTGCTCAGGGTCATGCGATGGGGAATGGATACAACTGCACAATGCTTCGCCTACATACCTCATGGTTGCATTAGACCCTAATTAAAGCAAACTGTCCATTAAACATTTTATATACATCTTTACCATTTCCATCCAAGAAACCATTTAAAAAAATGATGCCCTTAGGAATTCGACACCAATTGGCTCCATGGTTTTTTTTTCTCACCCATGTCATTGTACCTAGGTGAAATGCAGAGCTGAGCATAATTTGCATCAAAGGATTAGAGTTACGGCATCATAATCATCTCATTACTGTAAGGAACCGCAGAGCTATTCATTGCTGTGACTTGTGCCCAACTGCTAGGTCAGAATTCTGTAACGGAGTCAACTTATGAACCGAGCACCCACTGCTGTCTCTGGACACAAGAAAAGCTAGCGTGAGGGAAGTAACTCTACTGCGGTGTCACCCCAAATGATGTCCCTGTGTTGCTTTAGCCAGTTCCTTCCCAGTGAAGTGCAGGAGAACTTGTCTTTTCTGAGTGTGGAGTGGTGAAGAGGCAGTGGCAGACTAGTACTGGGCCTGGCCTGAATCCATGTTGAGAAAAAGGGTGGTTTGACAGCACCTTCCCCTCCACCCGCTCCTTGCTGCGTATAGGCAAGACTAAACTTAGGAGCACCATGAGAAATGTTGCAAGAGAAGCTGGCCTTGCAACACAGGTGGCTCGCAAGAGATAAGATGCGGTCCTTGGGACATGGACGCTTGAGTTTGCAAATCTAGCATTAGTGTGGCCTCACCTTGAATACTGTGTGTAGTTCTGGGCCCCACAATTTAAGAAGGATGTGAAGGTCCTTCAGTGCGTCCAGAGAGGGGTAACATAGCTGGTGAAAGGGCTGGAAGGCATGTCCTATGAGGAGTGACTAAGGACTTGGGGCTTCTCTAGTTTGGAGAAAAAGAGGCTGAGGAGCAACCTCACTGCTCTCTACAGCTTCCTGAGGAGGGGACGTGGAGAGGGAGGTGCTGAGCTCTTGTCCCCGGGATCCAGTGACAGGACACCTGGGAATGGCTCAGAGCTGCACCAGGGGAGATTCAGACTGGATATGAGGAAGCATTTCTTTACTGAGAGGGTGGTCGAACACTGGAACAGGCTTCCTGGAGCGGTGGTCAATGCCCCAAGCCTCTCAGTGTTTAAGAGTCATTTGGAGAATGCCCTTAACAACATGCTTTAACTTTTGGTCAACCCTGAATTGGTCAGGCAGTTGGACTGGCTGATCGTTGTAGGTCCCTTCCAACTGAAATAGTTCTGTCCTCTTCTGTTCTATTCTATTCAAATTTTTATCCATCTTACATGCATGTTTTCCTGTTTCAATCATCAGGGAAGTATTTAGCCCCCAATGCGGACTTGCAGCCTGATCCTCTGCAATGTCAGAGACTCTCTTCTCCAGTGATAGTTTCACTGGTGAGGCGACAGAATTGTTTCTTCCAGAGGTTACGCTTAGGTGGAGTCCCAATTACTACAGTATTTCCAGAAAGCACGATTAGATTTTTTTCCATCTGCACTTATTTGGCAGAAGGAGCTTTTTTTCCTCCCATGTGCAAACACTGTCACAGTGATCCACATGTTCCTTTAAATGGTGCTCTGTGTGGGCTTGGGATGAGTCCAAACGGAGGCTGGTGTAAATGCACTGGCACAGTTCTTCAGTGGGTTTTGAAGCCAGACTTGGTCTCCAGTAAGTTTAAATGAGAGTTTCAACCTTTACATGTCTTAGTATTTCAGGCCACTTCACTGTGAGTTTCCCTTTTGTGCTGCAGTGCAGCTGCTGAAGCGGGCGAAGGCCCCGCGGTGGAGCGCCCCGTGGCACCGGGGAGGTGACCACACCTGACACGTCATTTTGCCTGAAAGCTTCTGGGTTTCGGTGCGTGCTTTCTTCCCGCCCTGAGTTAGCGAAGATTAAAATTCCAAATATCCTGACCGCATCTGTGGCTTTTGTGACTGACATAGCCTGAGAAATTCAGACGGGCGTTACTCTCACCTTTTAAAGAGGCATACACACAGAGTCCTGGGGTTTTTCAGTGTTTTAATATTTCAGCCAGTGGAGTTTTTAATCAATAGAAATGTAAGTACTCGAATATTATTAAAACTGAAGATTTGCATTTAAAAAGAAGATTAAAATACAACTGTCTTGGTGAGAACAAGAGAGAACAAAATGGAATATAAACTATTGTGGAAAATAGTTAGGGAACACTTAAAGACAGAAGAGGAAAAGCCAATTTAAAATAGGAGATATCAGGAGATTCCTCCCATAGATTCTGTAAAGATGAAGAAGAGAAGAGGTGAAGGAGGAAAAGAGAGGCTGCAGTTTTGAGTCGGGTGAGTATTACACTGGTGCTCAAGAAGTCAGTCTTGTTCTTGCATTAATGTCAGGCTCTGTAGTAGGAATGGGGAAAGGAAGGAAGGTAAGAAAAGGCAAGGCAAAAAAGAGAGCAAGAACAGTAGCTTGATAAAAAAATGAATACATTTAAGACTGAAAAATAAAAGGCAGGTACGCTGGAGACAGCCTCTGGTGAGAAAGAATTTTATCCAGGAACACATTTCAAAAAGTAGAGGAAGCACCGCTGTGTCTGCAGCAGTCGCAGGCAGAGTCAACAGCGGCTGCTGGCCGCCTGGACAAGCACGGCCAATGGCACTGAAGTGCAACGCGGACTTACGCTCAGCTCCTGGAAGCAGGCTGCAGGTTAGGTTTCCAAACATCGCTTCTGTCTCCATTCACGCTTACCCCAATGGCTGAAAAAAAGCAGTTCCTATACTGTTGCTTAGAGAATATTATTATTTCTCTTCTGGTTTACCTCTGCTGTTTAATTTCAACGGTACCCATGGTTTCCTCTCCTTCATTACCAACTTTCAGCTTCAAATAGTCATACCTTAATGTGTGCCTCTGTTGTTCCATTTGATAAACCTCGCCCTGCCTCCTTGCAGTGCCTGTACCAGCTCCACTGCTGGCTGCAACCCAGGAAATTTGTAACACGTCCTTTTTGGTGCGACTGATCCCCGTCACCACCAAGGGCCCCTTACTGCACCCAGCAATAATCCTGGCCATACACGGCTTCTCTTGGTTCGGATGAAGAGCCCGGCGCTGCGGGTCCCGTATGGTTTTCTGGCTGCTCCTCCATACTGGTGTGGTCATATCATGCGCACTCGCTTGCCTGGCAGCCCCAACGCCTGCCCGGCTCTTGTTGAGAGCTCTGGGCATCAGCACCCCTTTCCTGCGATTGCTACAGGTCTCCCCCAAACACCAAGCTCTACTTTCTAATAAGAGTTTCCAGCACGATGACTGGGAAGAAGCACAGCTGGCTCTGGAAACTGGGTATGTCTAGTGAGGTCTATGAACTGAACCAAGACTGAAATGTAATATTTTTCTGCAGAAATCTCACAGAAGACAGTTGTGCCTTTTTGATACCGCTGAAACGTATGCTGTGCTTGTGCTAAATTCCGTACAAGCCCACCAGAACTGGCGGTCCTTGTCAGGATCTGGTCCACTCTTTTTATGGTAAGCCTTCCAAAAACGAGCTTCGGGTGTCAGGCATGCCATTTTCCCCCAAGCTGGTTCTCTCTCATACTGTTCCTGTGGAGAGGCGGGAGGCTGGTTTTGTTTAAAATAAAGAATAACTTTGCTAATCTCATATTGGTGGCTGAAAGGTAGTCTTACTGCTAATGAGAGAGACCCAACCTGTATGATGTTAAAAGAAGGCTCAAAATTATAAGGCAGCTCCGAATAAAAGTATGGTTTTTAATTCCCTGAGGTTGCCTGACACTGCAGGAGGCTGGTAGAGGACTGGCTGTCCGAGAGAAACTGCTTTTGCTTTTCCTTAGAGCCGAGGTGATTTATTGCAGACTCCTGTTAAAACCTTCACCTGGCAAGTCGAGAGAAGGAATGGGCTTATTTAAACTTTACCAGGCTTTAAAACATCACTTCCGAAGACTGTGTGTGGTTACCAATTTTTAGTGACTTTTCAAGGAAAGTCTCCCTGCTAGAAACAGGGTCTCCCTGCTTTCTTAGTAGCGGTTCCCGTCTCTCGGCCGGAGAAGGGGCTGCCTTTGGCCAGCGGGCGGGCGAGCCCGGGGCGGGCGGGGCCCCCGGGC